ACACAATTAACCAAATATTTAAACCCAATTAACCAAATATTAATAAAATTTTGCTTCTAGGCTGAGGGTAGGGCTGGGCTATAGCCCACCCCAGCCCACCCTACCTCCGCCCCTGATGTTAGGTACAAGAACGTAATGAAGAAGACGATCGCTTTATGCCATACACAACTTCCAGTGTATGGTGCACAAGTTCGACAAACATGAGTACGTGCTGAAAATGTCGAGTTGAAGATTGCAATTGGAAATTCAAAGCCCCGAGAGTTGAGCAGAACATATTCTTTCAATTATGTATAAGATGAAAATATCCAGCCTAAGCTTTAAATAGGAGCATTATCATGCATGATCCGCAATTCCCCATGATGATAAGAAAAATTTCCACCAACTAGGAATAAGGTTAACTTGAATTGAAAGTTCAATTAGTGTGACCTGGTGTAGAAGCCAATGGAGGAAAACTCATCGTAATTCTAAGAATTATACTATTCTCTAAGATCTACACAATTTTCTTAGTTAAGAGTGTAAATGTGAGGGCTGGGTTTAATTGCTGGGTGAGTACAGTCCACCAACAACCAACAAAGACAGTGATGGCATGTCCAAGCATGTTCAACTCCGAAAGACTGAAGATTATGGGAATGATTGGGAGTAAATTGGGCGATAATAATGGGAATAAATAGGGCGAGATTATGGGAATGAGTTATGAGGCGTGTTAGAGAAATAATTTTAGCTTCTAAATGAATTATTTGAGTATATTTTGCCATTTCTATTTATACTTCGTTTATTGCAGTAATTTGGTTTAAAAATTAATGTAATGTACAAAAAGATTTTTTTTTTTTTTAAATTTAAGGTAGGTGGTGAAATTTTCACTAATTTCATATTAGTGCCACCTAAATTGATATTTAAAATCAATAGTGCTAAATAGTTTTACTGTTTTACATGTCTAGGTAGTTGCACATATGCTATTATAAGTTTGTTTGAGCCCCATTTTTTTTTTTGTAAAAAATACATTTTGGAATAGTGAGTTGATAGAGAATGTGTGGTTAAAAAATAAGGAAAAAATTTAAATTTACGTGTAATATTATTTTATTAAAAAATATGGTTAAATATAAAAGAGAAAAATACATTTTAAAAATATTGGGGACCAAACAAGAGCTATGTCCCTATTTGATTTGATTAAAAATCAAATCCTTAATAAATTGGTTGCCCCATAACGTGGACATGTGATCCTATTCCCCCCTTATTTCCCAAAATAATATTATTTAGCTGATGATATACCACAAGTTTATTAGTTGATGCCGTGCAATAGGTTTAATAAAAATTAAAATAAGTACTCATTTAATATCATATTAGTGCCACCTAAATTGATATTTGAATATCAGTTGTGGTAAATAACGTTACTCTTTTACATGTCTAGGTAGTTGAACCTGTGATATTAGATCCTTGTTTGGTTTGATAAAAATTAGGTTTTTTTTTTATTAATTTTGATAAAAGTTGATAAAATATGTGAGTAAAAAATTAATATAAATTGTATGTCATATAAAATGTATAGTTGAAAATAAGTTTGAAAAAATGAATTTTAAAAATTTGGGATCAAGTAGGGGCTAAGTAACATTTTCAATTAACTCATTTAATTGAATTTATCAATTAATACCATCAAAATAGATGTTAGAATACTTGATATCATTATTTTTTTCACATATGTGAGCATATTTATTAATATTACAATAGAAAAATAAGTTAGAATTATTTTAACCAGGTTGTCAAAAAAAAATTTGGCTTTATGTTAGTGGTGAAGACGCGTACGCTATATTAACAATCGCGCTATGGTAACAAAAACGGGTGACATATAGGTTGACTTGCTGACACAGAAAAAACAAAAATTAAAAGAAAAAAAATAGATTCAACGTTCAAAAAAACCCAAAAATCGACTCAATGTTTCAACCTGCATAATCCCACTACACAACCCTCATAATCCCGGGAAATACATAGAAATAGCCTAAATTTGAAGCCATAATTCAAGAATGACCTTTGACCATTTTAAAGTTTTAAAGTTCCTAAAATACCCTCAAGATAAAAAATTGTCTAACAAGTCATTCTAAAATATAATGAATTTCACTTTAGTCCCTAAAATTTTAATCTTATATAATTTTGACAAATTGCTTCCCATTTGAAATTAAAATTTAACTTTTATTCACCATTAACTCCTTCCACCTATTAAACCCAAGAATTTGAAGATTTTGTTTACTATTGAGATTGTATTTTTGTTTTATTGAAAACCCCTCACAAAATGGTATTAGAGCACTATATTAAAAATT